CTCTTTCATAGCAACAGTAGGAAAGATTAAGGAAAACAGATTAGTGTACCCAAAGCCAGGGTGTGGCAGCTCCATGCTTACTTCTGAAATATTTACCTTGCTGTCCAAATGTATATGAACACAGCATGGAGCCTTCTTAGAAAAAGTCTACTCTGTATGATTTAACCTATCATTTTTCAGAAACAGAAGTCTATATAACAGGGATCGGGGCGGGGGGGGGAATATTCTTCACAAATTTCTTTCCAAGCCAGCACTTGAACTGCTGTGTACAGCAGAACATGTTGTTTCTGAATTGGTGACCAAGTCCAGCTACAAGATCACAAGTAGTGATGACCACTGATTCCATAGCAAATGTCTTCTCTTATTTGTCAGCCTGCTGAGCATGCTTCAGGCACAATAGCATCACAGGCATGAAATTGTGCATTGAGGTGAAATTCAAAATACACTAATAAAATATAAAATGAAGCCAGAGTAGAACAGAATAGAAAGCCTGCTGCTTTTCACTGGTAACCAAAACAGGGTTTGCTGAAAGGGAGCAAATACTTGTTACAGCATCTCTCTGAGTTAAATTATTCCATTATATTGTTTGTTGGCCTGAAGTACTTACACTTAGCATATCTTCAAAGAAAGAGGGGAGAGGGGTGAGCTACCATTAAGTCAGTATCATCAAAGCAGCAGCAGTGAACAGCTGCTGTTCTGACATTTGGTCATTCCAGAATTTCACTTGGGCTACGCTGCATATATATTTTTGTCATTTTATTCCATTTAAATATCAGAGATGTCAATATCCTGCAAACAAGCTAGAGTCATGCACATTTGAGATTCTGGAAACTTTACCTGGCTCCAGTGGATCATGTTTTGTACAGATGTCCCTGCAGGGCAGTGTGTTGAATACACATCCACTCGGCTCTGCAACAAGATAATTAACATGTTTTACTCTTCATAGTGCAACAGTTTTATCCATTATTGCTTCTTGAGCAACTAACAGAAAATTTCCCACTCCTCTTAAAACTGTTACAAACGAAAGTTAACTGGAGTCATACATACAGATGAGGTAGAAGGTTCAAATGTTTGGGGGATTAATTACAATTAACTGCAGAACTTTAAGCTGAACTTTAAATCTAGTAACGATATCCCTTAAGCACTTTTATACATTCAGAATATGTTTTTTTAAAAGTTCTAGTATTGTAAAAATTGGGACCACATTAACTAATATATAGATGGACCTCTGGAGAAACCTTACATCTAAACTAGTAGCTGTCAGCCCAAAGTGATTCAGAACAAGTACAAAATACCCAGGGGAAACTTAAATCCTAGCAGAAAAAATAAATATTATCTACCCTTCAAATCATGAAAACTGTATGTGCTGGGCAAGAAAGCATCAAAAACCTGCACTTTCACCTTGATATAAAATACAAAAGATGTACATTTTTGCACACAGAACGGTGAAAAAAAATAATGCTAATTCTATCTCACTCCAATAAAAAAAAAAATTCTCAGCCTTCATCCACCTGTGGGTAAACTGATACCAGCTTCTACTGATTTCAGGAAGTTAGAAACACTTTAAGAATCATTATGAAAACAGGTGATCTCATGCCAGTTGCTGTTAGCTAGCTTTTAGATAACAAAATAAGTCCTACAAACAAGTCCATTGTAACTAGGACCACAGATGAAGCCATCAGCAGGGTCAGAAATTGGTCTCAGAGAAAATAATAGCACACATCCACCAAGAGACCACAAAACTTCAACAATTCTGTTGAAAACTATCTTTATTCCTCACTTCCTTGCAAAAGGAATTAAATACTTGCACTATCATATTAATTCACTTCTCTTACCCACTTCCCCAACAGATCTAAAAGAATGTATTTTAGCTTTCCAGTAACATTTTAAAAGGTTAATTCTATCCATCCCAACTGGGCAACTAATCTATACCAAAGAAAGATATTCATCCAAACTCAGTATGATGAAGAAGGCATGAGGGGTCTTCTAATTACACATAAAGGACAATCAGTACAGTGATACACAGTCAATACTGTGTTAGAGTTCACAATAACTTAGCTATTAAAAGTCACCAGAACATACCATATTCAAGTTTCTCTCATTAAAACCACACAGAAGAAAGAATATGTTGCCGCAAAGGTCATCAAGTATTCTGTGGGTGCAAACATGAGTAGCAAGCCACTTCAGCAAAGAATTCTGAGGGAGGAATTGTTTCTTTCCAAACATGTCCTACAAAATAACAAACACATAGGACAAATATGTAATTGCATAGAATGACCTGAGTTTAGTTTTTATACTACAACATTCTTGAGTTAATTATTTCCATTTGCACCGGTGACAGGTATGTCATATGAAAATGAGTTATCTCCTTATCAGTCTTGTTTTACAGTCCAGTGGGAAGGTCACAGTTAGCGCTTCTGCCACAACAATGCAGTCCATTACTCCCACAAAAAGTACACGGGAACTGGGACAACCTTTCAAGAATTCCAAATCTGACCTCAAATTCAAATCAATTTTAAGTTCAGTACTTTACAAGAATACCATACAGCTTCTTGTCATCAGAATGGTTTAAGGCTAAAATATGCTAAGCTGTGTTTGCTAATGTTAAATGGTTTCATAATTGCAACCTCCTGTCTTCAAACCACCTAAGAAAAACAAGTTGCACAAGCTGTGGCAGCCAATTCCTCTTGATGTTTTTTTGGGTTTTGTTTTTTGTTGTTGGTTGTTTTGTTTTTTTTTAATACAGAACCACAGAATGATCACAGAATGGTAGGGGTTGGAAGGGACCTCTGGAGATCATCTAGTCCAACCCCCCTGCTAAAGCAGGATCACCTAGAGCAGGTTGCACAGGATCGTGTCCAGGTGAGTTTTGGATATCTCCGGAGAAGGAAACTCCGCAAGTTTTTAAAACATCCAAGGATTCAAAAATAGCCTACTGAGAACTTCCTTAAAAGCAACACAGCTCTTTAAAGATATGCCTGACCTATGGGTTTGTCACTGTCATACACTTCTGCACTCCAGTTTTTTTGCAAGTCACCATGAGAATCAAGTTCCTCAGCACAACATGAACATCTGCACAGGGCACTGATCAGCTACTGTTCTCATCAAAGTTCCTTATGTGAGCAACAGGAGATCACAATTGTTAGTATCGCTTTTATGTTAACTGCCTTTGGAGCAGGGAACTAATAATGCAAACAGACACACATTAAATCTGTACAAGGTACATTAGAGAAGGGTTTATCTCACAGGACAAACAGCTCTGTGTGGGAATCGCCATGGGTGGTTGAAAGAAAAGCAGTGGTTAAAAATGACAGCACAGCAGGGTGTTCACAATGTCTGACTTCAGGCACTTACTGCAGCCTGCCAGTCTGCCTACATGCCCTTCGATGCTAATGGAGAAAGGTAAACTCCTCCAGAGGATGATTCACAGCATCTAAATAAAGCTGCTGCTCTTAATCATCTTCTGAAGGATCCTCTTCCACTATAAATGGTTAATTGTGAAACAAATCTGTTAAAGTTCATGACAATTCAAAAGTATTCTGTATAAAGCTATCATATGACTCTTCTAAAACAGACCAACTATCTAATTAATCATGTGATTTCTGTAGCTTAAATACTAGAAACATGTAAATGGAAAACATAATAATTTTATTCCATCCATCCATGAAGTCGTAATTGTAAAATACTACTTTAAACTGATGCAAATTGTCTCATTAGACAGTAATAAAGCCAGAGAAGCCACTGCTGACTCCCATAGCATTATTACCAAAAAACTGGCACAGTGTTCTTGTTGAACATGTTAATCCACAGCTATTAACTTTCTTTGCTATGCTGTTTTCAACTAGAAAGGGGGACAACTCATTTGGCCTTAAACATTTACACTCAAATACAAACCTTGAGTAGCAGGTCAGGAAACACTCCCAATTTTGCCAGAGGGCTAGTGGCAAACTTGACTGTAGCTACTGGTGCCAAGGCAAAGAACATTTTGATTTTCTTAGCCAGCTGTGGCAAAGTTGAAAAAGCAATGAAAGCTGTAAATAATATGAGAATAGTTAACAAACCTCACTGACACAAGTTAGATGAGAATTTTACCTGGCAGTGATTCTATAAAATCTAAGATAAAGTGTGCAAAAGTATTTTAAGATTAATAGTTTGACTGTTTAGGATCAGTTTAGATATTGTAAATTAATCTAGTTACTACAGAACACAAATTAAATGAGGCAAATCAGAAGGATTTGTTTTCTTCTTAAAAACAAGTTCACGCTAACTAACCCAACACTCTCCTAGCTCCTTCTATTTGCAGGCCTGAAAGCAACCCAGCCAGGCTTTACATACAGAAGAATATTCTGGAAGTGGGAATCTTTATTCCACGTATCTGATGATTCTCATTTTATTGTGTGGAGTCCATCAATTTATTTAATATAAACTGTACTGGTGACTACCTGTGACTTCAATTTATCATTTCAACAGCTTCCCACTTTAAGTAAACACAGAAGGGTTAAGTCTTTTCATTTTAATGTTGATGAATATTCCAGGAAGCAGCTAAAAACCAGAAGCAGTAGATTTCAAGCCTCCTATTTTTTCATCATTAAACCACATATGTGGAACCTGATACCATTTGAAACACAACATATTCTAACAAATGCATCTCTTCACGTACCCATTGTGGTGCCCTGTGAATGGCCAATGTAAAAGACTTGTTTCTGGCCAGTTTTCTTCAAAATAAAGTCCACTGAGGCTGGAATGTCATACTTAGCCATTTCATCAAAGCTACAAAGCAAAGACAAAACATCAGTTGTGTAAGTAAAGTTATCAGTGTGGAACAGCTGCACAGAGCTTTACTGTACTGCAGATGAGCTGTTTGGACACAAAGAAAAGCTTCCTTAGGATGAAGCAGAACACTCTGGTGATTGAATCTTCACACTAAGCACCAAACAAAGCAATTAACGTTCTACTGACCACCTATGAAGGCTGTCTCAGGACACTATACTGACCGTAAAACTCCCCTTTACTGCCCCTACATATGTGCCAGCACATGGAATCAGGAAAAAAAAAAATCTTATACATTCACAATGTGACTAAACTGAGATGATGGACAAAGAGAAGAAGAGAAGCCTGCTTGTAAACAGGGTGTGTAGTTCCTCTAGTTTCTCTAGCAAGATGAGGATACCTGAAAACCCAGAATTCTTCTTGCTTCACTGTGAAGTGTGTATGTTTCCTGGACCAGGTGTTCCCTCTGCTGTTTCCCAGCCATACATCATAGCCAGCATCTGCCAGCATAAAGCCGAGGCTGTTGTAATCCAAATTTGTGATCCAATTGCTAGCATCTGCAAGCAAACCATGCTGCAGAAATACAGCAGGCCTTGGACCTGAAAAATAAAGCATTTATCATAGCTTCCTGTTCATCTGGAATTAAATGCCTAAGAATTCAAGTAAGTTATTGAAAGTCTGCTTTAGATTTGCACTTTGAATATTTAATCTACTTGATTTAATCATAGTGCCATGAAATCACATTTTCTCAAAAAGCTACGTTTTATCATTAAGAATTTTAAACTAGCAGCTTGTTGGTTTCCTCATTAGAGGAAAAGACTTCTTGAAGTTCAGAACAGACAGCAAATGTGCAATAAGCCAACATGAGAAAAGCAGGAACTACAAGAAAAATACAGGTAGCCTTTACAAGTGTTTCAAGCTCACAAATACTCAGAAAAGTGGCCCAAACACAGAGACAGGCAAACTACTTAGGACCCTTGTCCTGCCCCTGAACCTGGAGAAGGCATATATGTGCTATTGAGATCTTTGCTTTCCAGTTAAGACAATGCCAAACTAGGGTGCTGAACTGTGGAAATTTCTGCAACTGGTACTGATATTATCTCTACGCAACTCCCTTCCATCACCAAAGCCCTGGCGGAACCTGAAAAGCAGTACAGGTAGCCCACGAGGGAATCTCTATTTCAAAGGAATTTCTCCCCTTGACTTAAGTAGTTAGAAGAACCACAGTCAAGACTCATCTGGAATTTAGGAAGCCTTTCTCCTCACTTCCCCATCCTGATAAAGGGAAATAACACCTTTATGTGGAATATAGATTAAAAAAATTGACGGTTCCTGCTTCTACACAAAGAAAATAACATGTAATCCTTGAGGAGGAACGTGGCCTTCAGAAAATCCAAAGAGCTGCCTCTAGATCTCACAGTAGCGCAGGTGTTTGGGGTTTTTTTTCTGCTTTAATAACAAATCTGATAACATGCTAACTTTAGCTCAATGCCAGAGATTACTCAGGAATTTACCTCCTCCGATGACACATCATTCTACTACAATACTAAACTCACACAATACTTCCTCCATTGATAATTTAGACTTGGATCTTGCAGCAGAAACAGCCAAATCACAACTGTTTCAACCACCTACACCTTCTGTTCCAGGTCACGTTCGCAAGTGTTTGCTGTGAGTTCCAAAATCCAAGTTAGCAATATTCCTCCCTCCTGGCAACCTTTATACCTGTGACAAGGACCCTTGTCAGTGCCCACTTTAACAAAATGGGAAAAAAATTACGTTGTGGCGTACTGTCCCTGCAATCAGCGCAAATCTCCAGCAGTGCCAAACTGGAGACAGTACAGTTCAACACTACTCTTCACTCTGCTGCAGTAATACTTCATTCCCATATGAACAGTGCGCAGGATTTTCAAGCCCAACATTAAATTTATTGTCAGTAATGTTCGCTTTTAGCTTTGGTATCTTCTTTCCTTTTACTAAACTCAGATCAACCAACTTCTGATTTTTTGAAGAACAGGCTCTCCTCAAGCTGCTACTTGCATGATTCATAACACAGGAAGAGGTAAACTGTTCAACTGCTTTAATGCTTTCTGTTCTCCTACTAGCCTCCAATTTCTGCCAGTTCCTTTTTCACTTTACCAAGCAGTCACCAGATCTGCACATGAATTGCACAATCATATGACAAAATGACTTGAACAATAATAATTTTGTATCACCTCTGATCCTAAAAAGCCCAGGGGTTGGAATAAGAAAGGCAGGTCCTTGAGCTACCCTTTCCACTATAGAACATTTTGTTCTCTTCACTGCACCCCCAAGAAGTTGAAGACAGACTTACTTCCATGCCCTTCTTACCCATGCTAAGCAGCTGGTTTAGATTTTTGGTTAATACTAAAACCAAAAATCATTGATGTTTTGCTTTTAAGTTCTCCAGACATTTCCCTTTTTTTTTTTTTAAAAGCTGAAAAACTGTAAGTCTTGTTCCAAAACATCATGTGATACATAATTCCAAGAGATGCTATTCACATTAAGCAGGTATTGCAAAAGAAGCATTATGGCATATATACGCTAAGTCAGCAGTAACACATCATCGGTATCTTTCTGAGAAAAGATACCAAGTCTATAAAAACTGAAGATCAACATGAACTTTGAAATCTTCATTCTTTTAGGAGATCGTACTTCCCCAAATGTGCTCAGTAATCCTTGTTTTTAAAATTAAAGCACTTTGCAAAACATGAACTTGGGGTCGAGGGTTTGGCAAAGGGAATGTGCAGAATTCCCACAGGTCAGGAAACTTCTGTTTGCTTATGTCATCGATGAAGGATTCGACAAAATCAACAGGTACAAAGGCAGCCTGTCTTTTTCCTGTGGGCTTCTCTGAAATTCTTAAGTACAAAAGACACCTGCCAGGTTTGCCTGGCCTCGTCCATGCACTGATCTTTACACACCCACCTTGCAAGAGACAGCGGGCAGTGCAAACATCCTAACTCATACAAAACCAACAGATAAGGTCAGGAAGACTGTTGCTTGGCCTTTGGCAGAGGAGAGGGTTTTTCCACAGGTCATCTTCATACCTGTGGCTATAGGACAATCACTGATTTCTTTTGTGAGCTCCATGTTTTTACCTCTCATCCTAGGTTTTTTTGGTCCATTCGGTTCTGAGGCAGTCCTTAGAATATGTACAGTTTCTATGCAAACAGGCTGCTGTTGTACACACGTGATTGTCTGTAGGACAATCTTTTATAAGGGGTGGCAACAAGATTGATACCAAATTCAGACATTGCTGTTCAGATACACTGTTAATTCCATAAGCAGTGTACAAAGATAGCAAGGCAAAGGCTGCGTGTGTCTCCTCTTCCACATACATTTGTCTCATTTTTAAAGCATTCCACCATTCAGTCCTTGCAAAAACTTTTGCCCATGTTGCTCCCTTAAGTTCCAGCTTACATTGCTCCATCCTTCCTTTCCCCTACCTCCTCACCTAGTTTTATACCAGCTTTCGAAGTAATTCTTACAGCTTGTACCAGTGCTCTGGTGGCACCTGCAGATGCTCCTCCCAGTCCCCCTCCAAATCACAACCTGGTCTGGACTGCCTGCTGTCAACTACCTGCTAGATATCCTAAATTGCAATATATTTTTAAATGTATTGTACTCAATATGTTCTGAAGGGATTTTATCTTATTATATTGTTTTACCTATTTAAGCAGCTGCGTAAAATATGACACCCCAGTAGTATGCAGCATTGGTCTGGCTTGTACCTTACTGCAAAGGGAGCTTCAGAGAGGTAAAAATTAACAATGAATTCTTACTTTATGCAGAAATCAGTCAGTAATTATTTTGTGAACATTCTAGTGAGAACTCTTGTAGTTTAGTTATTTTTCACCAAGAGAGGCATGAGAACTGTCCCTAATTTTGAAAATGGTCAGGAATTTTTAACAAAATTATTTGTTATAAAGAAGCACTTTTTAAAATGGGGTTTGAAATAACCCAACAATGTTACAATCAATCTCTTTTCAAGAGACTTTATTACTTAAAAAACCTCCAACAAATCTTAACACTTATTTTCCACTTCCTAGAAAATCAAGGCCTCTAAGCCCCTCAAAAAAACCCCAAAACAAACAACCAACAACAAAGAGCTTGTATTAATGTCACAAAAAGGCAATGCCAGGAAAATATAGCTTTCTAACTCCTTCTCCCTTCCTTTACTCAAGTCACTCTACATGTGCCTAATCTATTTTGGCCATAACATTCACCAGCGAAACATTCTAAGTGCATTGGTCATATAGTCTTTCATCTTTTTCTGCATTTTTACAGAAGCAAAAGTTTTATAAATCAAAGAGCTTTCTTGTGACTTCCCATTTTTCCAAGCAGATATAAATCTTACCTTTGCTCCTGTCACGGCCTTTTCTTCCATAAGGGATTCTGTTAACAGAAAGGATATACCCATCTTCTGTTGTCACTTCGTACTCCTCACTAGGGTATCCCCTGAAGGTAATAATTTGACTCTGAAGAAAGAAAAGAAACCACCTTGGAGTCAGACTGCCAGCCTCCTCAGTTCATTAACATGTGCAAAGTACTCTGGGTTCCTTCCAAAGATGGCGATGTGAAATTAAAGGATGTGGAGGAATGTGCTATACTACCTACCTATTTGATGCAGACAGGCTTTCTTATGAGACTTATCCCAGTATGGAGTCAGGAACTAGCCAGAGCACAAATCTTATCCTAGGAATTTGGGAGGACTCGTTAGCCTATCCCCATCCATCATATTAGTTACTCACCTGCTGCTTGCAGCGAGAAAGGAGATTAAAGTGTTGAAAAGGAGCTTATGACAACAGGGCAAAACACCGAGACGTGGATTTGGCAGACAAAAATTGAGACTGACTGCTCCCAAAGAAAGCAGTACCTTCCAGTAACAAGCACATGAGGACAACAAAAAGCCACTGGCACCACAGCGGCACAGGGAAGAAGAGAAAGAGGGAAGAATTCATCTCTCCTAAAGAGAAAGGCTCCTTTAAGGACGTTTCAGATCTATATCTAAACTTTTTGCCTAATTCTCTGTTATACAAAGGACACAATCATGTTTAGGCCATGTGCTGAAATAAACCAAAAACACAGCAGCTTTAAAACACTAATGTCACACTCTTTACATGGGTGAGCTGCTGACATTGCCACCTCAGCTCGTAGTTTCATGTCCCATTTCTTACTCACCTTTCTCCTCAAACCTTATGTCTCTTGCAGAGCTTTTAAGTGACTTTGCTGACAAGCCAAACAAGAAAATAATAAAACCCCCTACACTTGTTTAATACTATGATTTCATTAATAGATTTATCTCCCATCTCTTCTGTCTTGCATTTTATGTTATTTTCTTTTGATGCAACTCCATTAGGACAGAGAACTTACCATTTAATTGGTTTTATGACACTAACTGTGCCTTGAGAAAATGTAAGAAATGCAAGACATGATGGCAAGCTGCCAGGCAAGGAAGAGAAGGAGCATTTAACTAAACATGCTATTTCTTTTAAATATATCTTTAATCATCCACAGTGATATTAACATTCCAAAATGACTTTAAGGCTAAGTTCTATTCAAATGGTATTGGCCTTAGACTAAATGACTACTTTCAGTCCTCAAAATGATACTTAGATGATACCAACGACTCAAGCACTTCTTTTCTTATAGACCTTACGCATTTCAAGCTTCAAGTATCTTCTCGCACTTGCAAAAAATGGCACAGATGGGGCAGAGGAAAGAGGAACTAATACCAGTTACTAACAGCAACTATTTTCTGTAGTTGGCCATTGCAGCAGAAGGAGGATAAAGTTAAGAGAGTAAATACCAAATGGGAAGAAAAGCCGTAGTGGGTACAAACACAGGAGCATCATTCTAGCAGCACAAGTACCCTTCATCAGCGTGCTCTTTTCTAGCAGCTAAGCAAGAGAGTGACCTGACTCTAGCAAAAGCACAGGTCTGGATCAGAAAAGGAAGGAGGAGAAGAGAAAGACGACATGTAAGCAGAGGGCGTAAGCAGCAGCGGGCTGACCGCTGGCCAGTACCCGAAGCGTCCCGGGGCTGAG